CTGAATCAAGACGAGGTAGGGAGAGAAGCTGAGGAACTCGGATTCGAGGTCGAGGTCAAGGTGTTGAGCCCAACCCCATTAACCAAACTTGCAAAAATTTATAGAGCTTTCATTGCTGGTGATGCTATGGTGGGTGTTTATGGAGCAGCCATGACCCATTCCTATTCATGAAACCAGGTGCTGTTTTTATTCAAATTGCTCCATTAGGGATTGATTGGGCTGCTCAAACTTACTATGGACACACAGAGAGCGAATATGGAAGAAAGGCAGGAGGGCGGGGTTTGAAAGACTAAAGCGTTCTTATGTTTTATAAGTTCGCTGTGGCAAATAGGTGAAATTAGGAGAGAGAGAGCCGGAGGATCCAAAAGAGAGAATGGAAAAACAAAAGGATTATTAGTTTTAAAAAGAAAAATCGTATTTAAAAAGCAGAAATAATCGGGGCTTTAGGTGCCCCACTTGACCTGGTTGACTTTAGTCAAAATAATGTGCCGCTCAGATCGAATGGTGTAGAGCCTGCAGCTAGGGCAGCAACCCTTCCAAAGGGAAAATAATAAAAATAAATAGGAGACGTTAAGGTTGGTGCTGTTGTTTTATGTAATGTACAAGTCCACTTAGATGATACTTTCTTGGCTGCATAAATTATGGCAGCCATTCAAATATCCATGTAAGCCAATTCGTAATATATGATTTAAAAATAAAATGACAAACGATGTCGTTTTTCATTTTGGTCACGTTGGTACCATTGATTGAATTCGCGTGACAATTTATTGACTCCATCTAAAAACAAATCATCCAAATTAGTAGGCACCTGATTCTACCAAAATCCCTGAATGTTAGTATTTTGTTGTGGTCTTAATCTAAAATCCTCGAAGCTTGTCCATCCTTCATGCTCACCTACACTATCGTGCTCATCCCTACCCTCTTGTTGTTGGGACTCGATATGTGAATAATTTGGCTGGGATTGGGTGGGCTTAGAATCATCATCTCTCTCATTTTCCTTTAGAACCCCTTCCCACTCTCCCTCATTAGGTACAATATCAGCGACATCTCCGACGAATTGTGGATATGTTGGTGGGCTGCTTCATCTTTCATGCTGCTCATCACCTTCTTCAAAATCTTCCTCACCAATAGCCTCAAGGAACGCTCGCTTGTGCAACACTGGCTCATCTTCTTCTACTACCCATTGTTCTGTTGTGTTTGTGACAAATATTGTGTCCAAGTCTATCGGCCCATAGTCTTCAAGCTTCCTTCTTGTTTGTCACTCTCGGAGGTTTAAGTTGTAAGGAACGTAGACTAGTTTATGAAGCTTCTCCGAAACGAGTCAATTCCTTCTAGTAGTGTGCAACCATTGGAACGTACTCCAGTTTTGCTCACAACCAGTAGTAGAACATGTTTGGGAGAGTACCTTGATTGCTATCCTCTTTAGGTGAGGTGCATCACTACCATATATCTCCCACCATTCAGTTGAATTAAAATGCAACAAGCATTGTAAGGGCAAGTACAATTCATAAGATTAAATATATGAATGAACAAAATATTAGTTAGGGGATAACCTGGATCCATCTTAGTTCAAGAATTCCTGGCAAGTCTAGTTCCGAAGGATCCTATAGCATCCCTATACATAGCAAGCTAAAACAAAATATTTATTTTTAGTGCATTATTCCTCACAAATATAACAACTCAATCAAGTTCTTACCGAAATATTAAATAACACCTCTTGTATTGCTGCTACCTGGTTTTGATAGCTTCTCTCCAACCTGGTAATAATGTATCTGACCCCTTCCATAATCTTGTGGGGATGTTCCAGTGTCAAATAGAAAAATGTTGGGTTGAAGTAATAACCTAGGAAATATATAGATAGAGAAATGTCATTTAAAATTTCATAAAAAAATAATTTACAATGAAACATTCTAATGATATAAATATATATTTAAATGCATAATGAATTGGACGTCCAAATTTGGTGTTCCATCTTCTTTCTATAATCTCGATCACTTTACTATCAAAACTATACTTTTTCCCAATAACTGATGTGGCCCTCTCGATACCTTCATAAATGATGCCCATTGTAGCTTTCTTGTCAGCATCCACCATTTTTAACACCGTAACCAAAGGGGCAGTGACCTCTACGATACTGGGACATCGAGACCGGAACCTCCTATTTGAGACTATACCGTCCACTTTTAGCCCGGTACTGGACTTCGAGAGGTGGTCATTTAACCACTCTTCACTGGTAAACAATCTCTTTATTGCACCTTCAAATTCCCGAATGGAGTCCACAACCAAGTAATCTGTCGCAAAGCGGGTTATGGCAGGCCTGATTATCTATTTTT